AGGTCCTGTGCCAAATGATGGCTATGCCTTTTGGTGCCTGTACAACTTGTAGTTTTTGAAATATTAATGCTGCAATGACATGCTACATGGCAATGCACACTTGTTTTTACATCGTAAAAACCCATGTCTAGTTCTTTATTCATTTCATTTGTAACACAAATTAAGAAAAAAATCATGCAATCAAAATAAAATGAAAGGCAGAAGAAGAATAAATCTTATATCTGCCTCCTTTTTAGAACCAAAATATGTTCAAAAGAAAAGTAAAACACAACAAAATCAAAACAATTTAAAACACTTCAAAATTTACTAAAAACAAAATGAATTCACTTATAAATCTCCATATTTCATCAGAATACTATTTTTTATCATTCTCTTCAATATGTACATATTCAATAAGTGCATAATATGTAAATTTGACTTTTATTGTGACTGTTTAAAAAAAAGAAAAGAAAAAGAAGAGTTGTATTTTAGTTTCTGAAGAACTGAATATGACACACACTGAATGCGACAGACATTAAGAGAGGCGCTGGATTTTCTTCACACTTTTCACGATACAACACTGATACAACACTGATACAACACTGATACAACACTGATACAACACTGATACAACACTGATACACAACATTTCACAGCCGGAACGTGTTGCTAATGCTAAAGACCCCGCAGCAGGACTCACCATTTTAGACGAGCTGTACCGGGGAAGGACAGGTTTCCTCAGGCTGCTCGTCCTCCGGATAAACATTAACCCAAACATAGTTTAACTTTATTCTCCACAACCTGCTTCCTCTCCCGTTTGTCCTCTGGCCCTGTTGTCACGCTTCTCCATAGGTGTCTATGTCACTGCCTGAATAAAATTAAGCTGTTCAAAGCTTATTTAAAAAAAATACTCATCTGAATAACACTGAGATCTCTTTAATTCTTTCAAAAATATTATTTTTAATATTTGCTTCAGAATAAAAACTATTTTTTTTTGTTTTATATGTTTGCTCCAGAGCCGCAGTCTTGAAATCCTGGGGCGGGGGTCCGAGCCCAACTTGTTTACTGTGGTATGGAGAGCCGTTTTATTCAAAATACAACCAATAAATAAATAATGTAATTAAAAAATATTAATAGAAAAACAAAATTAATATATTATAATTCATTTTTAGCATTTCTTTATATTATTTATTTGATATTGTAGTTTTATTTTGAGCCACTTTTATTTTGTAAAGCTACTTTACATATAGCAGGGACTTTTATTTTGAACTCCCTTTTTATTTCATGCCGTTTTACTATTTCAGGCTGTTTTACCATTTCATGGCGTTTAATTTCATGGCGTTTAATTTCATGGCGTTTAATTTCATGG